CTCCCTCTCACTCCCTCTAGAAATCAATGGAGAAAATATCCTCAGGTGAGGATTAATAAAAACAAAACAAAACAAACAAAACAAAAAAGAGTATAGTTTGGGGTAAAGAAAAGTAGAAAATGGAGGAGAGAGGGAGGAAGAGAAGGAATGAGGGAGGAGGCAGGGAGGGAGGGAAGGTGGGAGGGACGGGGAGAAATGAGAAGCAGGAACGGACAGACCAACAGACACATAAGGACTGGAATTTGGGGTTGAGTAAAAGGGGTTGAATACTATATTCAGTAAGAGGTTTTATTTTATACCTAAAAAATGCCATCAACATGGCTCAGTGGTTGAGTGTCAACCTATGAACCAGAAGGTCATTGTTCTATTCCCAGTCAGGGCACATGCCCAGGCTGTGGGCTTGATCCCCAGTAGGGGACGTGCAGGAGGCAGCAGATCAATGACTCTCATCATTGATGTTTCTATATCTCTCTCCCTCTCCCTTCCTCTCTCTGAAATTAATAAAACATATATATTTTTTTTAAGTGCCATCAAGCCCTGGCTGGGTAGCTCAGTTGGCTAGGGCATGATCCCAGTATGTCAAGGTTGCAGGTTCAATCCCAGGTAAGGGCACATACACAAATCAACCAATGAATGCATAAATAAGTAGAACAACAAATCTCAGATCTCTCTCTCACCCCCTTCCCTCTCTCTCAAATCAATTAAAAAATTAAAAAAGAAAGAAGCCATCAAAGGTTTTTCAGTAGAAAACATGTTCGAATTTGTATTTCAGAAATATGGGCCTGGTTTTAGAGTGTGAGTTACCATGAGAAGATTCAAAAGGCAGTGAGACCTGTTTTGTTACTGTAATAGTTAATATTGGAAGAAACCAACACAACTACAGTGAAAGTAAAAAGTTAAAAATTCACTGAAGACGTGCTTGAAAATGAGAACCAGAATAACCACCCCATCAGTTACCCAAGACTGAGAACTGCAACAATTACCACCATTCATTTACACAGTTACAAATGCAGAATGTCTTGGGCCTCAACAGACCTTTCTTTCCAATAACAACTATAGGTTGTGTGCACCAACCATTACCTTAAGAAATCAATCAATCCAAAGATTCACTCTACTTCTAATGTTAGAGCTTCAGAGCTCAACCTATAATTGAGAAAAATCCTAAACTCATTTCCTCAAAGGAGGCACCACTTTAGAATCATCTGTGTGATCTCTCTTACTGCAGCAGGTGAATAGAACAGTTTGCTTATCGCCTAAGAGATTATTTATTTGAGAAGCGGCTTTCCATGAAAGATTGATATCCATCAGTGAAGTCAAGGAAAAAGAGCAAAAGGAGGAAGTGCCGTCTTGCCTGTTCAGGGCAGGCAGAGGACTACGAACTTAACAGTCACGGGTGACCTCAGAAAGAAATTTCCAATAATTGGGCGATTAAAAAAAAAAAAGAAGTGGAATTAGGTAGTAAGTAGTAAATTTTACTCTTCTAAGAAGCCTAGCTTAGTTTGAAAGTGATGCTGAATCTTTAACAGTATTTTTTGTTGTTATTTAAAAAAAGTATTTTAATGCTAGTGAAAGGGAGATATATAAAGGGAGAGGGATAAATAATGGAGCGAATTTATGAGACGATGAGAACAAGAACTCTGGTAGAGTGCGCCATATTAAAGAGAAACAGTTCTCTGTGATTTGAAATGGAGGAAAGGATGTGTGATGATGGATATAAATAAAAATTGTATGTAAGGGGATAGTTAGGGAGTTAAGATCCAGTGGTAAGGCCATCTATTGAGATAAAGAGGAAGAGAGAGGGGGGGAAGAAAGGGGAGAGACAGTATGTTAATGAAGGAATGTCTGAATTTAAGATTTTGAGAGCAAAAAATTGCCAAAGAGGAGAAAGAATAAGAGACAAGGGGCTTTTAGTATTTGAGATCTTGAAATGATTCTGGTTGATAAAACTGAGCAAGTTATAAAAACAATGAGTTCTGAGTATCAGAAACTCAAAATCATGAATTAGGAGAAACAGATTATAATCACAAAGTATGGGGCTGAGAGGAGAGTTTCAAGTCTAATACTGATTAACATAATTGAGGAAGTTGGAGTAATGTCCCGAAGTCAACAAGTAACAAGAATTAAGGGGGGAGATGATAGCATAAGCACAGGAACTGATGCACAAAAAGGGCACAGTGATCACTGACTTGACAGTAGAGAGCAAAGGAACACATCAACCCTCCTTTAAAATCTAGGCATAGAATAATTCTTTTTCTTGAGATGGCTGTAAAGAAAATGACCGTTTACATATGCCATGTTTAAATTTCTGGGGAGGAGAGAAAAGAGTTCTATGGAAAGATCAAATTTATAAAAACTTGTTCGAAATGGAGGATCCAGATGATGTGAGGAGCTGGAAGTAGGTCAGTAGTGGAACTATACATTCCAGGTGAGGAGAGTAGGTCTGACTCCTTGGAAAAAGGGAGAATAAGAGCAGGGCTTCACCCATGTGGACAGGCAAGCTTTCTCTCTCTGCCTTACCAGTTTGGTGAGATAGGGCAAAAGTCTGGCCACATATGTCACCAGTTTCTCACTCTTTCTCTTACAACTTACTTTCCCAAACCTTCATGTATTCTCCTCTCGTCCACATGGTAAACTCAACAGGGCAAGTTAAGTCAACCCAGTTTGAAAGGGTAGGAAGACTAGGTGCAGATCTAAGCACACTCTTTTACCCAGTTTTTCCACAGATGAAGTTGACATTTTTACTCTAATCTGAGTTATGTCTACTTCTCAAGGGTTCAGAAGATGGAAGGAAAAAAAGGCATAATTAATTCATCCCCATAAACTCCAACAAAAGGGATGCAATGTAAATAAACGGAAATCTGAAAGAAACTATATGGAAAGTGGGTTGAGTGTACAACTTATCAGCCACAGTGAAGTTTGAAATTTCCTAAAAACATTTAAAGACCTAATTCAATTGAAGAATACTATTAGAGGTGGGGAGATTTTTTAAATTATGGATTCAATGCCTTTAAAAGATACAGCCCCGCCTGGCCGGCATGGCTCAGTGGTTGACTGTCGACCTATGAACCAGGTCACAGTTTGATTCCCGGTCGGGGCACATGCCTAGGTTGATGGCTTGATTGGCAGGAGGCAGCCAATCAATGACTCTCTCTGAGCACTGATGTTTCTGTCTCTCTATCCCTCTCCATTCCTCTCTCTGAAATCAATGAAATGAATAAATGCAATAAAAGATATAGCACTATTCAGAATTTTCACTTCTTTTTATGTCATTTTGGTAAGTTGTATTTTTCAAGGAACTTGCCCATTTTATATAAACTGTCCAAAGTATTGACATAAAGTTATTCATAGTACATTTTCTTATTCTTCAGATATTTCTTGGATTTCTAATGTTTCCTATTTATACCTATATTGTTAATTTGAGCTTTCTTTTTTTCTTAGTAGGGGTTTATTAATTTTGTTAATCTTCAAAGAACCAACTTTGACTTTATTAATTTTCCCTATTTTGTCTTCTTTCTTTGTTAATTATCTTCCAGTTTATTTGAATTTAACTTGCACTTCTTTTTC